CAGGGTGTTAGGGTTTAGGGCTTTAGCGTTTAGGGTTTTAGGATTTAGGGTTTAGGGCTTAGGGTTCAGGGCGAGTTTATTTCATAATGCTAATCCAAGGTGCTTCGCGACCTCATCCATTCGACCATGCCTGATGCAGCAGTCACCGCGGGGTGCTTCTTCAAGTCAGGGTTTGTCAAGCTTCAGCTGGAAACTCTGGGGCGGGGCTTTTCCTGCTTCTAGAGGTTGATTGAGACGGAGGATCAAATGTGTTAAACCCTTAAGCCCTTGACCCCTTGAGCCCTAAGTACACCCTACTACACACTATATAAAACGTAATTTAACCCTAAACCCTGTACACTGAACTCTTGTGGCTGCCGGTAGAGGCCACAACAAAAAACACGCATTTTGACTTCATTTGGGGGGTTTAGGGTTTAGGGTTTAGGGTTTAGGGTTTAGGGTTTAGGGCCCATGCTGCCCGCAGATGGTTCCACCAACTACCACTGAGGTGTCTCTTACCCTAGAAAGTATTCTTCATACTATACATGGGCAGTTCTCTAAAGTAGGGTCCCTTTTTTAAGTCCCCAAAGTAGTACGGCTATAAAGAAGGACCCTAAACCCTAAACCCTAAACCCTAAAAGGGACCCCAATTCAGAGAACTAGATATGGGTAGTTGTCAAAATGATGGTCCCTGCTGGGGTACCCTAAATATTAGGTGCCGTAGTATATTAGGTACCCGAAAAGGGGACCATAACTTTGACAACTACCCATAAACAAAATTTCCCCCGGTTGCGGGTTGTCTGCTGGGGGTCTCCAGCTTCTCACCTGGTGTTCTTCTGGTGGTGGTCCCCTGGTCTCAAAATCCCCCGGAAACCCAGGGAAATAACAGGTTAAACTTTGGGATTACGACGAAGTTCATATAAGAACCCAAAAAGTGTAGCCCAGGGAAATAACAGGTTAAACTTCCGGGTTACGACTAAATTATTAAAGCACCCAAAAAGTTTAGCCCAGGGAAATGAAAGGTTAAACTTTCGGATTACGACTAAATTATTAAAGAACCACAAAAACCTTAAAGGTTGGGTTTTGGGGAACTCAGTGGTGATATCAATATCCTGTTTTTTGGTGGAGGTCACCTGGTGTCCGCAGAGGGTCTCCTGTTGGGCTGGGTCTCTGCGTGGTCGGTTGGTCTCCTGGTAGTCTGCTCAAGAGAAACGAACCTGTTTAGGGTATTAGGGCTTTAGGGCTTTAGGGTTTTAGGGTTTTAGGGTTTAGGGTTTAGGGGTTTAGGGTTTAGGGGGTTTGGGGCTGAGGGCTTAAGGTGAAGCAATCTAGCATAAGTACCAAGGCCCCACCCATAATGAGACTCCACCTGTCACCAGCTTGCCATCGTCATCTTCGGCCGGGGGCAGCTCTTCTATGGCCAACTCGGACCCTTTGTCTGTCAAGGGCTTTAAGGGGATTTTAGTCAGTATTGAGTCCTACACTCTACGGTTGTCAAGAGGTTCCTTTCGGGCTTAGAAGGCTCGATGGTCTAGCGATTCGAGTGTTGGGTTAAGGGTGTCCGGCTTCAGGGTCAGGAGTCAGGGTCCTTGAGTCTGTTCTGATGATGTTGTGACGCGGGCTTCTTAGTGCTTTGCCAGTTGGCTCTACAGGGCTGTCGACCGGGCAAAGGCTTGAGGCTAAGTCAAAGGCTAAACCGCAATCTTACAAAGATACCCAGGAACAGTATATAACACGATTAAGCTTAGGGGCGATTTTCGACCATTTGATGGGGTCTGGGCGTAGGCTTTCGGCTGATTGCTGCTGCAAGCCGACGGATGCACGAGGAAAACCAGACCTTGTACGGTAAAGGTCCCAACCCCTTGACCCCAAAGCCAACTTAAATAACTGAGCCATGCCCATCACGCCGACAGAAGCCATTCGAAACGATATTGGGGGCCACCCTAGCATCCCAAAACCCAAAGTAGGTTATAGCACTTCCATCCCAAATATTTAAGTATTAGGCAGTTGCATACCAATACCAAAGGCAGAAGGTTAGGCACCAAACCCTAGACGACCAAATATGAGACTAGGATTTTGCTTGCGGTCTTTGGGTTGTCCTAAACCCTAAACTTTAGATCCTGAACCCTGAAGCATAGACCCGAAACCCAAAGGCACGAAATCCCCCTAATTACCTTAAAAACCTAGCCCTAAAGCGCCCTAAACCCTAAACCCTAAACCCTAAACCCTAAACCCCAGAATCCCACAACCCTAATCCCCAAGCCTCACCCCTAAACCCCTAAACCCCTAAACCCCTAAACCCCTAAACCCTAAACCGAAGCCCCTAAAGCCCCGAAACTGTTGCGGGCGTATCTTTAACGTCCCATATCTCTGAAGTCTTGCGTTTTCCTCACAGGGCTTTTCAAGCTACTGTTTGGGTTTGAGTTTTACGGCTTTAGGGGCTGGGGTTTCGGGTTTTAGAGATTTAGAAGGTCATTAGGGTCTAGGGCTCTAGGGTTTTGTACGATCTTTCTAGCCGTCTAGTACTGTAACAGGTGCTAACCCTAAACCCTAAACCCTACTCGGTAACAGGTGCTACTCGAAAGCCACCACTTCAAGGCTCAAGCAGATACATTTCATGACTACGTGGGCCCCGAGAGCTGGTTCAGGTCACGGTTTCCGAAGGTTGCGTTTAGGGTTTAGGGTTT